AGCAAGGGCCCCAAAGGAGGAAGGGCCCCAAAGGAACACTCACCGTCCCCCAGGAAGATGATGAGGTTCTTGGCTGATGTCTGAATGGGCTGCAGCTTCTTGGCAACATTCAGGGCCTCGGCTGCCTTTTGGTTCCAGAAGGCTGGATTTTCTTCCTCCACTGGTCAAGAGAAAGTAGACCCAGGTTAGTCCAAGTGGGGGTGGCAGTCCTTCTGTGGGAGTTAGAAAGGGGCCTCTTACCTGGGATGACACCAAAGGAGAGTTGTATCCTGAGACCCAACAAGAACAGCAGCAGCGCCCAGTCTCCCTGCATGGCTGGCGCTGTGGGGAGGCTGCCCAGCTGGAGAGCCAAGGGACCAGCTACCGCTTAGCCTGCCTGGACTCAAGTCTGAGAAGGACTTTGTTCCTGGCAGTAAAGGGTCCATGTCCCTCCCCTAGAAGCAAAGTCACCCTGGCCCCACCCTTGGCCTGTGAACTGAAGTCTGGCTATTAGGGTGTGGCTGGGCCAGGGGTCCTGTGACTCCGCCGGCTGGATGGGAGGCTAGGGGGAGATCCTGGATGGGACACTTGTGCTGTGTGCTGCTGGAGCCACCCTCTACTCATGAGTGTCTTGTCAGGAATTCCTCACACTATCTGAGAACCCGCTGGAGATAGGCTCTGCTCTGGGCGCTCCAAGTAGGTGGGAGTCCAAGCCCCCAGCCTAGGCCAGGACCTGGGTTTGGTTCCCTGGATCAGTACCCCTGATAAGGACGGAGAGAGGCCTGAATGCCCTGCCTACAGCTGTCTTCTCAGTAGCCTTGCTTGAGGCAGCTGGCACATTCAGGATCTGGTCCCAAAGTGACTGCTATGTGGGATAAACAGTGCTGATGGGACTACCCAGCATGGAAGCCTTGTCCATGTCTTTCTTCAGGTGGTGGTGGTGTGCTGGGCCTGCCCTGTAGACCTCATGGGTGTGTGTCTTTCATGTGCATTCCACCTGGGGCTGACTGAAGCAGCAGGCTGGGGTGGGACTGCTGTCTTGGGCAGCCGTGGCATTGACTGGATATTTCCGAGTGGCCCTCAAGCTTGTGTGGGTACAATTGACCCCTGTTCCCTCAGGCAGGTAGATGGGGCCCAAGGGTGAGTCTATTATCCACGGGCCCTGGACACACCCAAATAGCCTCTGATAAGGAGTAAGAGACCGGTTCAAAAGTATTTCTGCAATTTAGCAATCCCAGTTCTGAGTAAGTAGCCAAAGAAATTAAAGCAGGACTCCACAAGCTGCCTGTGGTAGCCCATCTCCACAATCCCAGCTCTGGGGAGTCAAAAACAGGATTGAGTTTGAGGATAGCCTGGGCTACTTTGGGAGAGCTTGTCTCAAATAAACAACAAAATTAAAAAGTGTCACTTGTGACTTAGAAGTGGAGAGGGGCTCCTAGGGGTGAGAGGGCGGGGGGAGGGGGGGAGAGGGGTGGGGGGGGGGGGAAGAAATGGAGGAGAGAGCCGGTAAGAGAAATGTGGTTGGAAAAGACGCCATATTAAAACCTCGTTGCAAACTCACAAAAACCTGAGAACAGGGTAAGTGGGCCTGGAGAGATGGCTTAGAGGTGAAGAAAGAGCTTTTCCTGTTCTTGCAGAGGGCCCAAGTTTGGCTTCTAAAACCCAGGTCAGGTAACTCACAACTTCCTGTAACTCCAGCGCCAAGGGAACCTAATGCCTCTGGTGTCCACAAGGCTCCTAAATTCATTTGCACACACCACACACAGAAACAGACACATTCATATACACATAATTAAAAATAAAATAAAATGCTAAAATATAAATAGATAGATAGATGGATGGATGGATAGATAGATAGATAGATAGATAGATAGATAGATAGATAGATAGATAGATAGATAAAAGCAGGGGCTCAGACAGATGGACTTCTGTCCTAAGATCGGCAGCCACATTACCCACAGAAGCCAGGAAGGAGAGTGTGTACTGTGGTCTGATTGACACGTGTCCCACAAAGGTTCAGGTGTTGCAAGTTCAGTCCTAAGTGTGTAGCTGTGCTGAGGGGTGGTAGAATTGTTTTATATAAATTTTATTTATTTTACATCCTGGCTGCAATTTTCCCTCCCTCCTCTCCTCCCAGTCCCTCTCCCTAGTCCCCCTCTGGCTCCAACTCCCAATCCACTCCTTCTCTGTTTCTGTTTAGGAACGGGTAGGTATGTCTCCCATGAATATTAACAAAATATGGCGTATCAAGTCGCAGTAAGACTAAGCACCTTCGCTACCCAGTATAAGGAGTAGGGTCCCAAAAGCCAGTAACAGACTCGAAGACAGCCCCCCGCCCCGTCCCACAGTTAGGAGTCCCACAAGAGGATCAAGCCACACAACTGTAACATAGATGCAGAGTGCCGAGGTCAGTCCCATGCAGGCTCTCAGGCTGTCGGTTCAATCTCTGAATTTTCAACAGGCGAAGAGTAGTGGATGGTGGCTGAGTCGCCAGGGCCACTGTTCTCTAGAAGATTAATGTAGTGTTCTTCTGGGATCCACGGGTGGGCTGTAATGAAATAGTAAGTCCAGCAGCCCCTCCTTTTCTGGGTCCCGAGGCACCTCGTGAGCCTCCTCCTCTCGCTCACATTATAGCTCTAGACTGCCATTTACCTTGTCACATCACCAAGGGCTCGTGGCAGGGCAGAGCCAGGTCAGTGCCCATTCTTGATTTTCCAAATCCTTGAACTAAGTAACTCTCTTTTTATTACATGTTACCCGCCTCCAGGTATTTTCTTATGTCAGTGGGAAGACTTGTTATACCAAGCATTTTAGATGGATGACATGCTCCATATACACAGCAGGTATCATCTGCCTTAAAAAGGGAGGAAATGGGGCTGGAGAGATGGCTCAGAGGTTAAGACTGCTCTTCCAGAGGACCTGAGCTCAATTCCCAGCAACCACATGGTGGCTCACAACCATCTCTGAGATCTGGTGCCCTCTTCTGGCCTGCAGTCATACATGCTGTATACATAATAAATAAATAAATCTTTAAAAACAAAAGGGGGGGGGAGGAAATGTGACCAAAATACATTGCACACATGTATGAAAATGTCATGTTGAAACCTGCTATAATGTATAATTAGCATGTGTCAACAAAAAACAAACAAAAATAGCACCAGAAAGGAAAAAGGGGGTGTGTGGTGCTCAGCTGTACCCCAGCATTCAAGGGGGTCAGGCATGAGTTAGGTGGAGTTAGGTTGTGGGTTATGCACCCCCCTCCTCTTGGAAAAATGCATCTCACAGCCTCAGGACCCCGTGACCCCCCTCCTGTGCCAGGCTATGTGGACTCCCATCTCTGAACAAGGGTCTACATTGTCTGCCACGGGTGACACTCAAATTCAGACTGTTTCTATCCAAATGTACTCCCAGACATGTCTAGAATATGAAGCACAGAAGGGCCAAGCCGTCCTAAGTGGGTTTGGGTACATGTGCTGTAAAACCAAACCGTGTTCTCAGCAACATTGTAGGGAGAGTCCATATTTACCATGCCATGTCTCTGCATAATTGAGTATGCATATGATTAAAGTCAGATGCAGTGTGGGAAGGGACATAGGTAGTAGGAAAAATGAATGTATGACCTAATACATCAATCAAAATAAGGAACCACCCAAGCTAAACCCTGTAGTGACTGTGGCGGTTTGAATAAAAATGGCTGCCATAGGCTCATAGTGAGTGGCACCATTAGGAGGTGTGGCCTTGTTGGAGTAGGTGTGGTCTCGAAGAGAAAGTATGTCATTGGGGGGCGGGCTTTGAGGTTTCAGAAGCTCAAGCCAGGACCAGTGTCTCCTCTCTCTCTTCCTGCTGCCTGCCAATCCAGATGTGGAGCTTTCGGCTCCTTCTCCGGCACCATGCTTCTCACCATGACAATAATGGGCTGATCCTCTGAACTGTAAGCCAGCCCCAACGAAATGTTTTCCTTTATAAGAGTTGCTGTAAGGGAACACTCCTCCACTGTTGGTGGGAGTGCAAACTTGTACAACCACTGTGGAAATCAGTATGGCGGTTTCTCAGAAAACTGGGAATCGATCTACCTCAAGACCCAGCCATACCACTCTTGGGCATATACCCAAGGAATGCTCAATCATTCACAAAGATACATGCTCAGCTATGTTCATAGCAGAGCTATTCGTAATAGCCAGAACCTGGAAACAACCTAGATGCCCGTCAACTGAAGAATGGATTAAAAAAGTGTGGTACATATACACAATGGAGTACTACTCAGCAGAGAAAAACAATGACATCATGAGGTTTGCAGGCAAATGGATGGAACTAGAAAATATCATCCTGAGTGAGGTAACCCAGACTCAGAAGGACAAACATGGTATGTACTCGCTCATAAGTGGATACTAGATATAAAGCAAAGGACAATCAGACTGCAACCCACAGAACCATGGAGGCTACCTAGCAGGGGGGACCCTAGGATGACTGTGGCTTATAATAAGTTTTGGTTTTACCCAATCACTGGGCAAGCTTTAGTGAACATTTCACTATTAGGATAAGAATTTGTACTGTATCAAGCTAATGACAGAAAATGCTGGCTGTTCTTTCAGGAGGGGAGGCTAAAATCTTTTTAGATTATGGATTAGCCTATAGAAAAACGTCTGGTGTAAATCAAACAGTGAAGGGGAAGATGAATAGGAATCTCACTTACACAACTTAAGTAAAACTTAACTCTCTGAACAGATGAAGATAGGTTTCTTCTGTATCCCAGAATCTAATCAATATTTATATGTATAATTAAGCTAGCATTTGGTTTAAAAGGGCTTATTGGGAAATGTTATCATTTTTACTATTTTCTACAGAGAAAATATTTTACTGTTTAAAAATAACCCTGGACTTTTAAATTATAACCTGTTTTTGTGTTCAGAAAAAAAGTTGCTGTGGTCATGATGTCTCTCTCTTTCTCTAGCAGTGGAAACTCTCACTAACAGTGACTAACTCCTCTTTCTTCAGAACTAACTCCTTAAGAGACCTCACTTGTGCAGCCCAGGCTGGGCCTCTTTAACCTGCACTCATCTCCCCTTGAACAGAGTTACCTCGCTCCCTGGGCAAGCCCATGTGAGTTTATTACTCTCAGTTCTTGGGAAAGAGGCCCAGACTCTGGCACAGCCAGCAGTGCCGGACAAGTCTATTCACAAGTTTCCAAGAAGTTCAAATCTTAGAGACGACTGAAATCCCAGTGAGTGGGGAGGAGATGGAGGCAGGAGGATCAGGTGTTCAAGGCTACCCCACCTCCAGTCAGACCAAAGCTAATGTAGTATACCTGAAACCCTGCCAAAACTCAAAAGTTAT